ACATGGTCGATTAACACACCTGAGTCAGTCCAGGAAGAAGGCATAAATGTGATTGATAATCCAGATGGCAGGCAGAAGCATAGTCGGTAAACAGGCCAGGGTCAGTTCAGGTGGAAGGCAGAAATGTGGTGGATAAACAATGCAAACGAAAGGCAGAGGCATAGCCAATAAACAGGCCAGGGCCAGTTAAGGTAGAAGGCAGTGGCACGGTTGGTTGAGGCAGCTGGCAAATGGTCAGCAGACATATTGAAATTGGGGAAATGGCAGGCTGTTAGAAATATGACATTTTATTGACGTGTGAAAACGTCAGAGGCATTCTCAAATGCACAGACCTGGTTGGGAGGGACAGTGAAAACTTGTCTCTTCTAACTCCTCCTCTGCTGCTGCAGACCCAACATCTTTTTTGGCATCTTTGGCCTGCTTCTGTTGGTGGAATGCTCTCAGGGAAGTGGCGCTCATGAAGTCTGCTCACAGAAGAAGGAAAAAATGCTTTCTGGGGGGTATCTTTGCTGGTAGATAAGGGATGTGATGATTTCTTATATAAATTTGAGCAAGGCAGCGGGTCTTTCTGTGGATTTGGTGTAGGTGACATATGCATTATAAGTAGCCAAATTAATAAAATAGATTGCAACTTTTTTTATACCAGAAATGGGCACTTCCTGTTGCTAAATAGGGCTGCAACATCTGATCTTTGAAAACCACCCCCCCCTCCCCCGGTGTAGAGATTATAATCTTGGATGGCCACCGGCTTTTGAATGGGACCGTGTAATTTCCACCGAGGTGTCATTATGGATGGTATACAGGATGTAAACGTCTCTATTATCCTTCCACTTTAGGGCCAGCAGTTCATCGTTTTTTACACTTGCTGATTCCCCCCCCCTTTGTAGCCTGGTGTTCACTAGAGCTTGTGGGAAGCCCTTCCTGTTTTTTCAGGAAGTACCGCAAGCCAAGGTTTTTTCACTGTACAGTTGTCGGAAAAAGGGGCAGACTGGTATAGAAATTGTCCAGGTAAATGCGATAGTCTTTTTGGAAAAGTATAAAAGCCAGCTGCCAGACAGTTTTTCCACTTGTTCCAATGTAGTTTGGGCTCTGGGAGGGCTGGAGCTGGGAATCTTTGCCTTCATATATGCGGAACGCATACAAATATCCAGTCTCCCTTTCACAAAGCTTGTAGAGCTGTGCTCCATATCTGGCCCTTTTACTTGGAATATATTGCTTGATTCATAGCCGACCAGTGAAGTGGACAATGGATCTGTCTACACATACGATTTTATCGTACATAAAGTTCAGCAAATCGTTGAAAAAAAAATTAAGTGGGCAAATTTTGTATAATTTGTCATAGTTGGGATGATCTCGGGAAGGGCACTGGGTATTGTCACTGAAATGAAGGAACCACATGATCATCTCATAGCGTGGCCTGGGCATTACAGCAGAATAAATGGGCATGTGGTGGATTGGGTGTGTGGACCAGTAAGCATATCCTTCTTTTTTTTTTTGTAAGGCCCACGTTAAGGGTGAGGCCCAAATTAATTAAATTCCTCCAATGTAAAAGTCTTCATTCAAAAGGATGGGCATTGGATGAACTAGGGTTGTTAGTAATGAATTGTTGGGCAAAAAGGTTTGACTGGTCCACAATAAAATTAAGTAAACTCTCGGGCAAAAATAAATTAAAAAATCAGTTTCTGAAACATTTTCAGTGTTGGCCTGCACATCTGGATGTGTGGTGAAAGGGGGAATGCTTGCTGATCTCGACCTGGAGGGCAGCCATAATGGGTTGGCAAGAGCATCTGAGAGGTTATGCTTGTGTCCTGATTCTTGGGGTTTGATGGAATATTCCAGTGCTAGTACTGAGCCTTTCATCCATGGGTCTAGCACCATTGCGTTTTGACATGGCTGGCTCATACACTGAATCAGATTCGGACAGTGAGAGCTCCCTGCTGGTCTCATCCATCATACTGAGGATTTTGAACGCCTCCTCACCATTTTTTTGACATGGCTGGCTCTGGTGGCACTGGGACAGGTAGACTGATGGTGGCTGTAGGCCCGAAGAGATAGAAATTGAATAAAAGCAGTTTTAAACCGTTCCCTACGCTATTCAATGTGCAAAAAGGTTTTGGCTTAAGTTATACTTTAAATTCCTATTAGGCCTCATGCACACAGGACATTTATTTAACTCTCCTAGAAGCCAGCAGCGCTTTTGCAGAAAAAATGCCTCACGCTAGTAAAAGTATCTAAAGCTTTTAGAGAAGCATCAAGCTCTTGAGCGTTAGTTCATCTCATTGGCCAGAACAAATATTTACTCTGGCCATGGAAATAAATTAATGCTCAAGTGCTAAACGTGCCTAGTTTTTAGGCACATGAAGCAGCTTTTAGTATTGTCAAGCATTTTTTCTACCCACATTCTGCTTCTCCTGGATGTACTGGCAGTGGGGTTTTTTTCCTGCCTTTAAAAGCTTCTCCAAATCTGTGTGCATGGATGCATAGGATAACATGGAGGGGTGTTTTGAAGCAGTAAAAAAAAAACCTGATGCTCCTACAAGTAGCTGCAAAAACACCTTGTGTGCATGAGGCCTTAGAATGACATATCCATCAAAGACAATCATGTCTACAAGCAACAATGCTGCAATTTTACTGGGCACAAAACTATTACAAGACGGACAATACAAGTTACTCATATACTGGCAGGATAAATGGGTAATGAAATTACGTTATGTTAATGCTTTGACAAACTGCATCATATATGTTATTTTTGATAGTTCTACTTTTTTTAAATACCGTATTTTTTTCGCTCCATAAACGCACCTGACCATAAGACGCACCTAGGTTTTAGAGGTGAACAAACAAGAAAAAAAAAATATTCTGAACCAATGACTGCAGACATAGTACAGGGGATGACCAGAGACTGCGGACACAGTACAGGAGAAACAAAGACTGCGGACAAATACAGGGGATGACCAAGAGACTGCGGACATAGTACAGGAGATGCTGCGGACACAGTACAGGAGATGACCAGAGACTGCGGACACAGTGCAGGAGATGACCAGGGGACTGCGGACACAGTGCAGGAGATGACCAGAGACTGCGGACACAGTGCAGGAGATGACCAGAGACTGCGGACACAGTGCAGGGGATGACCAGAGACTGCGGACAGTGCAGGGAATGACCAACTGCGGACAGTGCAGGGAATGACCAGAGACTGCGGACAGTTTGAATGACCACTTTATTTGCGGACAGTACAGGGAATTTTTGAATGACCAGAGACTGCAGACAGTACAGGGAATGACCAGAGACTGCAGACAGTACAGGGGATGACCAGAGACTGCAGACAGTACAGGGGATGACCAGAGACTGCGGACAGTGCAGGGATGACCAGAGACTGTGGACAGTGCAGGGAATGACCAGAGACTGCAGACAGTGAAGGGGATGACCAGAGACTGCTGACCTTTGGGGAGGGAGGGGGAGCGGGTACCTGAATTTGACAGGTACCCGCTCCCACTTCCGCGGAGTTGCCTTCCCCTCTTCTTCCCGGGCCGGCTTCTTTGACAGCCGGGTGCCCACTGCGCAGGTGCAAGAAGCGCTTCGCTTTGTGAATGGCCCGGCGCCTTCTGTGACCTTTCATGTGTCCCAGAAGACACCGGATCATTCACAAAGCGCAGCACATGCGCAGTGGGCACCCGGCTGTCACAGAAGCCAGCGCGGGAAGACTGTGCAGCGCTGGAGCGAGGAACAGGTAAGGCCCTGCAGGGGAGAACAGCTGAGCGGCCGGCCCGGTATTCTGACATGGTGGCGGCAGAAATACCGGACCGGCCGCTTTACATCTCCATAAGACGCACTGACATTTTCCCCCCTTTTTGGGGGGGAAAAAAGTGCGTCTTATGGTGCGAAAAATACGGTATGTAATTTGCAAAGGTGCCCAAACTTTAACTTAAATGTGCAGTTCTCTTAAAGTGACACTAAACTCTGGTTTAACTCCTTGGTGCCAACACTACACATATATGCGGCCTGTTGGCGGTTGGCTGAGCTGTGCGGAGAGTGCTCACCCTGCGTGCTCCCGCAACAGCTGCTGGTGGCTACAGGAGAGCTCCTGATTTCTACTTACGGTAGGGAGCTTTCTAATCTGTAACCACTGACAGCCAATCATGGCAGTAATATCATCTGAAACCCCTTAAAGGGCAGGGAAGTGCCGACGCCAATGGGGTTAAAACAAAATTCTACTCAAGTATATATTCATAGCCACCCTCTCTTGCTTGCTTACTCTTGAGATGGACCAGGGACTATGGGATTTGTAGTGTGCACAAGACTGCAACTAATGTGCACTGCTTGTTCAAAAAAAAAAAACAACAAGTGATGGGAAAGGGAAAGGTTGAAAGCTCTTGAAATATGTTACAAGGAGGCAGAAAGTGCAGTAAGAAACAATTTCATGAAAAATAAATTATAGGGTCCTTAACCACTTCAAGTCCGGACACTTTTACCCCCTTCCTGTCCAGGCCAATTTTCAGCTTTCAGTGCTATCACACTTTGAATGACAATTGCGCAGTCATGCAACACTGTACCCATATGAATTTTTTGGTGAGACAGATAAAACTTTATTTTGTGTGGTACTTATTCACCACTGGGATTTTTATTTTTGTTTGCTATATACTGTATATGAAAAAGTCCAAAAATTTTGAAAAAGTGTTTTTCTTATAAAATTTTTCAAATATATCATCTTTCTTCATAAATCTTGGCCAAAATGTATTCAGTTATCTTTTTAGTAAAAAAAAAAAAAAAAAAAAAACAAGTTAGTTTATAAACAAAAATTATAATTTTTCTAAATTTGTTTTGAATTTTTTATGTTTTTTTTTTTTAACATACCGTCACCCTAGCAGTACAGTGTCACTATGGTGACACTGTACTACTTGTGGGGGGTGATGAAGATTTTTTTTTGTACAGATTTCTTTTACACCCATAAAGGCTGTAAAAGCAATAATTTCTCCTTTTCTCTGGCTTCTTCTTCTTGCAGCCATTGAAAAATACTGTGAGAGCTGTGATTAGTCACAGCTTGTCACATGGTACAAGGCTGTTGTGAATAGCCTTGTACCGTGTGACCTCTCTGATCATTCACAGATTTCACACATAGTAAGCAATGATGTCAGGAAGTGACATCTTATTTACTACTATTCATGTGATCACTGATTGGCCAATCAGTGATCACATGATCGGGACCTCACACAGGAGGTCCCGTACAGTGATCGGTGTTCCGCTGTGTCCAGAGGAGCGCGCACAGGCTGTAAATGCAGATGCCGTTTATGAACAGCAACCCGCTCCTGCACTGCTTCCATCTGCCCGTTTATGTACATGAGTCGGACAGGAAGTTAAGTAGTAAATGTGTATGGATTATATTTGGAGAATAAAGATATCGTTTATGGTCACTTTTCCTCTTCACCACATACTGTACATACACAGCCTCCTTCTCATAAGGCAAATTTAACATTCTTCAAATGAAACTAAACCCAAGGAAGTTTCTATGTTAGCCTCTGTTTGATCTGCAGTAGCCATGGTGCTGCTCATGTGATCAATTAGGACATCAGCCATTTGTTGACTTGATAGTTTGGTTGAGAGTAAATGTGACAGTTATTCACCGTATGCCTTTTGGGAAACCTTTAAATCAGTAAGTTTAGTTCTGCTTTAAGGCAGAGGCGGATGTCTCTCCTTTATACCTGTATACCTATTATTATTATTATAGGTACTTATATAGCGCTGTCAATTTGCGCTTTACATACATATTGTACATTCACATCAGTCCCTAACTCTCAAGGAGCGTACAACCTAAGGTCCCTAACTCACATTCATACATACACATACTATTATAAAGCCTCATCCTTTTTTTCCTCTCTTAATTCTCAGGTAAGTTTTGAATGTATTTGACTGTGGCTGTTAGAGGCTGCATGGAGAGATCCTTGCCATATATACATGCACTACAGTTAAGGCCTGGCCTTTGTGGTATGTCTACTATACAGTATGTATGTATGTATTATTATAATACAGGATTTATATAGCACCAACAGTTTGCACAGCGCTTTACAATGCTACAACGTCTTATGTTTTACTTTGCCTATTAGTGTTTATGAGACGTAATACTACATTTTGTGTTAATAGCCGATGTAAGTTACCAGTTGACCTGATATCAAGCACAGATGTTGCAAGGTTATACCAACTTAAATTCAGCTTGATGATTAATAGATACTATGTAATAACCAATGATAGTAATGAAAAAAGCAAACACTGGACCGCAGTCAATGGACTTTATAGGCACCACACCATTTTATCATAAAGTTATACAATCTTTATTAATGCACAATTAGAAACATTTTGTATTAAAAAAATAGCATCCTGCACCCTTACGTCCATTGAGGTGGTGGCCATATATTCTAAAAAAGGTACACAATATCCAGATATTACTAGAGCTGTGATCCATCCAGAAATTGCCACCATCCAATCGCATAAAGCTCGACATGTTTTGTGTATTTCACTTCAGGAGAAAAAAGGTGCACTGCTACAAAAAAGCGGCATGATATGCCATGAGGGTCCAAAAGGTTCCCCCACCAGGACAGCACAAGGGGAAGAAAAAAGTTTGACTGTACTTCAGGAGATAATTAAATAATTACAATTATCCCATTATATACTCAGCGGCCACTTTATTAGGTACACCTAGCTAGTAACGGATCGGACGCCCTTTTGCCTACAGAACTGTCTTAATTTTTCATGGCATAGATTCAACAGGGTGTTGGAAACATGACTCAGAGATTTTGATCCATATTGACATGAGTTACTGTTGCCTTTCTATTATCTCGAACCAGTCTGCCCATTTTCCTCTGACAACAAAGCATTTTTGTCCACACACCTGCCGCTCACTGGATATTTTCTCTTTTTTGGACTATTCTCTGTAAACCCTAGAGATGGTTGTGTGTGAAAATCGCAGTAGATCAGCAATTTTTGAAATACTCAGACCAGCCCATCTGGGACCAACAACCATATCCCGTTCAAAGTCACTTAAATCTCCTTTCTTCCCAATTCTGATGCTGTTTTAACTTCAGCAAGTCATCTTCACCACGTCTAGATGCCTAAATGCATTGAGTTGCTGCCATGTGATTGGCTGATTAGCAATTTGTGCTACCAAGCAAATGAATAGGTGTACCTAATAAAGTGGCCGGGGAGTGTATAGAGTCCCTTGTGAGGGGATTCAGTGCCCCAAATTCCACAGTAAATCTTCCAGATATTTGCCAATCAAAAATACAGTATTTCTATTTGATCAGTAACAAGCTGGGAACTTCAATGAAAAAAGCAATGGGAGGACTCATGGAGGTTTTGATCTGGGCTTATATCTCTGGATTACCAGTCCCTGTCTATTGGCTTCCAACTTGTTACTGATCAAATAAGGGTGGCGGATGCTATTAGGTTTTAATTACAGTTTTTAATTGATTCTTAATTAATAAAGATTGTATAATTTTATGATAATTTTGTGTGGTGCCTATAAAATCCATGGACTGCGGTCCAGTGTTTGCTGTTTTCATTAAACCAATTTAGGGACGAGGCATTTTTGTATCTGTTAGGGTAACAAGCACTTAAAGTGTTACAAAACACACAATAGTAAAATCAGTCTGTATATGTATATTGCTTTGGAACCTAAGGGATTAATCATCTGCATTGTGTAAAAAAGATGTTTGATCATGTGTTCTCTGATCCTCCCCTTCTTCTACTGTCCCCAATCCATCTGCTGATAGAACAGAGCCTTGGGGACAAGTTGCACATACTCAGTTTGGTGTGCATTGCTAAAGAGTTTTTTTTTTTTCATGGGAGAGTGCATGTGATCAGCAAAGGGCCAATCAGCGCTGTCCAGACAGATGATCAGGCATTGTGCAAACTCATAGGACTATCAGGGGAGAATGAAAACTCCTCCTACAAGCTTTAACCAGTGCTCTGCTGGACACTGATAAGTCACAAAACTGCTCTAACTGCTGATGAGAAAAAGTATTTATCAGTTTATATTTACTAAAATAAATGCATTTCCATAATAAGTATAAATCAGCACACACAAATACACAAAATCCTCAAAAATCCCTTAAAGTCATATCAATATCCTTCCCCTGAAGTACCAATAACGAATATATTAATTGACTTAAACAAAACCCACAATTCCAATGAAAAATCAAGTCCCAAAGAAATTTCCCAAAAGGTTTTCCTAAAATAAAAATCCCAACACATAAAGTGTCCAAAAAATTGTGATTGGCTGATTAGCAATTTGTGCTACCAAGCAAATACGATCCCCTTTCCATGTGTGGAAGGTCTCCCGATCACCAGGAAATTCCCCCTTCCCACTCCTGTCCAACACTATCACTTTCTGCTCTGGGGGACACCTGAAGTGTACCGTTACTCTCAAGACCGCCGACACACAGGGGTTCCAGAATCCAAAATGGCTGCCACGGCACTTCCGGGAACGTCAATACGTCATGTGCCCTGGACACGTTTCGTCACTTCTGGACTTTGTCAACAAGTACTGTACCCATTCCTTGTTGACAAAGTCCAGAAGTGACGAAACGTGTCCAGGGCACGTGACGTATTGACGTTCCCGGAAGTGCCGTGGCAGCCATTTTGGATTCTGGAACCCCTGTGTGTCGGCGGTCTTGAGAGTAACGGTACACTTCAGGTGTCCCCCAGAGCAGAAAGTGATAGTGTTGGACAGGAGTGGGAAGGGGGAACTTCCTGGTGATCGGGAGATCTTCCACACATGGAAAGGGGATCGTATACTGGTCGCTAGGAGCTGGATGCTGATTTTATATGTAAGTGGCTACAATAAATTTTATATATTATTGTGATTCACATACTGATTCCTGGTCTGTTTATGAGGTCCTAAGGAACAAGAGGACACCAATCTAAGGAGACACTGTACACATTTGGTTGATTACAAGCTGAAATTTTCTGATTTAGGGTAATTATGCACTTTGTATAAGGCTTGCAGTGATATTTATTTTAATACTTTTCACATGAGTGCTGTGACACTGGAGTGTTTTTTTTTGCATGGTACACGTGTGGCACTTTAGTTTTGGTACTTAAAGGTAATACACTATGTTTAGATTTTGTTCTTTTGAGGTATTTGAAGAGCGCCTGTGATTGATTTGCATCTTCTTCAGTGGAGTAGGAAGCACCTTCTTATCAAGATCTGGTTTTCATTTTGGACACATTTTTTTTTGGACACTTTATGTGTTGGGATTTTTATTTTATTTTTGGAAAACCTTTTGGGAAATTTCTTTGGGACTTGATTTTTCATTGGAATTGTGGGTTTTGTTTAAGTCAATAAATGCATTTCCATATTCTGTGTACTGTGGGAGACCAGATATTGTGAATGCAGGGTCATGGGTTTATCAACACTTTAAACAGTTCCACCCACAGTGATCTCATTTTCCTTCTAATTAATCATTAATGATAGTAAAACTCTTGTGATGTTAAATATAATAGTTAATAAAGATTTATAAAAATATGGGTAAATGCAAACCTTTATCATGGAAACACCACAAATTTTAAAACCAGAACAATCTGAATACTATTATGTACAATAATGTAGTTTATTTTCACAAATATAAAAAAATATTTCAACATACAATGCATTAAATCTTTGTAAACATTTTATGAAATAAATAATCTATACATAAAAGGTTAAAAGGCATTTTTTTTAAAGTCTTCTTATTTGTCCTTTCTCCTTGGCAGTTAAACAAGTTTTTGGACGTAACGCTGTAGTAAAAGACAAAGCAAAACATGTCAACAATAGATACATTAATAAAGTAAACAGCAAAGTAAAGCAAGCTATACATTATACAATATTTGTTTTCCTGCAACCACACGTTGCAGGAAAGAAAAGTGTTGATGGGGAAATCCCTCCTGCAGCGCTATTGTGTTCTGCAGGTGGGTAGCCTTTCTTGCCAGCAGAACACAATGATAACTACTGGCAGATATAGCCGCATGCAGTGATCGAAAGGAAATAAAAACTGACAGATTGGTAGTACTGAAGTTGATCAACAGGTCGATTTCAGTACAACCAAACTGCCTGTAGATGCATTGAATCTCAGCCAGTCTCTGATGAACCAGACAAGATTCAATCCATCTATGGGCCCATATCCATCAGCCGAGATTCAATCCATCTATGGCCAGCTTAAGACTGTGATTTACCCACTTGCCCCCCTTCCTGACCAGGCCATTTTATGCGATTCGGCGCTGTGTTATTTCAACTGACAATTGAGCAGTCATGCAATGCTGTACATAAATGAAATTTGTCATTTTTTTTTTTCCCACAAATAAAGCTTTTTCTTTTTTTCTTTGACTTCTTGCTATAAAATTTATCCAGTAAAAATTAAAAAAAAATCTAATTTTTTTTTATAAATTTAGGCCAAAGTGTATTCTGCTACATGTCTTTGCTAAAAAAAAAAAAATCCCAATACATGTAAATTAATTGGTTTACATAAAAGTTATAGCGTCTACAAATGGCGTTATATACAGTGGATATAAAAAGTCTACTGTTAAAATGTTTCTGTGAGATAAAAAAATGAGACAAAAAAATCATTTCAAAACCTTTTCCACCTTTAATGTAACCTATAAACTGTACACCTCAGTTGAACAACAAACTGAAATCTTTTAGGTGGAGGGAAGAAAAAACTAAAAAAACTAAAATAATATGGTTGTATAAGTGTGCACACCTGATATTAGACAAAGTCCTGTTCAGAATCTTCCTGCCTTTGGACAAACTCCTGTCCCTCTGCTCACATGCTCAGGCCCTTGAGGCCGAGGGGAAGCCCTCACTTGATGAATGCATGAGGGTTTTGGGTCTAATGGTTGCCTCTTGGAGGCTGTGCCATACATCCAGTTTCACTACAGACTATTGCAACACAACGTTCTAGTAGTGTGGGACAAAGACTCGGACAAATGCATCTGACCCCAAGGACAGACCTTTTGTGGTGCATTTTCTACTCAGCCCTAGAATGGGGAAGCCCTTAAGAGTGAACTCCTACCTCAGATGTTCAGGTAAACAGTATACTGGAATTTTATTTTTTTTATACTAGTAATGGCGGTGATCAGCGACTTATAGCGGGACTGCGGTGGGCATTCTGACACTAGATGGGAACTGACTAACTGCCACTGACATCCCAATGACACGATCAGTGCTAATAAAAAGTACTGACACTGTACTAATGACATTGGACAGGAAGGGGTTAACATCTGGGATGATCAAAGGGTTAACTGTAACATTATGTGCTGTGTGTGTTTTACCACTGAGACATGCTGCTTTGTATTTCTCTGCATGTCCTTGCTGGCAGGAGAGAGACCTGTGTTATTTACACATAGGTCGCTCCCCTGTCAGCTTTAACAGGCGATCGCGAGGTGCCCGCGGGGAATCTCTGGCAGGAACCGGTGATTGACATCCCTAGCCACAATGGCGGCGCAGGTAGGGCAGTGCACAACCCGGAAATGCAAAAAAAAAAACACACACACACGGTTTTGCGCAGCCCTGCAGCAGTAGTTCAACTATAGGGCGGCGGGAAAGCGGTTAAAGTAGATCTAAAGCCAATTTTTTTTATTTTGAATAAAGCAGTGGAGGACTATAACCCCTGTCAAGTTTTTTCTGCCATTTGTGTCCTACTGAGAAAATTTCCCGTCACTTCCTATTTCATAGCCAAAAGAGGAAGCGAGAGGAAATCCCTGTTTGTCACCAGGATCAGCAGAACTAGGATCCTTATTGGAACATTTTCTCTCACTTACTGTTCTGGGGACAACCCAAAATGTGGGGTTGTCCCCACCTATAACAGTAAACAAGAGACAAAGAGCTCAATTCACTAAGCAGTATTCACTGCTTTAGGAACTGCAGTAAAATACCTCCTTTTCTCATATTTTTTTGCAATGCACTAAAAACGCTACTAAAACACCGCATAAGCTATTTTTATGAAGTGATGCGGTATTTTAGTAGTGAAAGCTAGCTGCATTTTAAGGAACCAACGGTATCCGTAATCCTTAAAAACCAGTGAATAGCGGTTTGTTAAGAAGTGGGCGGCCGCAGTGTCTTTAACCACTTCAGGTCCGGACACTTTCACCCCCTTCCAGTCCAGGAAGCTCAGCTATCAGCACTATCACACTTTGAGTGACAATTATGCAGTCATGGAACACTGTACCCATATTAAATTTGTACCCTTTTTTTGAGACAGATAGAACTTTATTTTTGCGGTATTTGATCACCACTGTGTGTTTTTTTTTTTTTTTTTCAAAATTTTCGGTATTTTTTCATTTATACAGCAAAAAATAATTTTTTGCTTAGTTTTTGTTATAAAATTTTGCAAATAATTTTTCTTCATAAATTTAGGCCAACATCTGCTGTCGGGTGAGATTTCCCGCTGACAAATAAGTGTAAACAAACAATGTTGGCATAAAAAAAAAAAAAATTAAAAATTGTGTAGGGCCCCCCCAATCCATACCAGGCCCTTTGGGTCTGGTATGGATTATGAGGGGGAATCCACACCAAAATTAATAAAAAAATAAAATGGATGGAATCCCCCTCACCCCCAAATCCATACCAGACCCTTAGGGTCCCTTAAGGATGCCAGTGGCTGCCCACTCTACTGTTGTTCGTGAATTTCAGCCCACAGAGACTGTGAATCTCCCCAATGGGAGCACATACAGCAATAAAACCTGATAGGTGTTCTAATCCCTCTCTACTCTATCCAAAATTAAAAAACACAACAAAGGTTTGGTTGTTACTTATACTTTAACTAAACATAGAAACACAAAAACAGAAAAGTGACAGCAATAAAAGACCAAGTGGTCAATCAAGTCTGCCCTTTTAAATTAAAGCAAAAAACACAAGCAGATGTACCTGGATCAGGAGTTTGGTTCTTCTTGGAGTTGACAACTATTTTATTATCATTCATCATTCTGACATCTTGATCTTCAACGTTGTTGCTGTAACACAAAATATAACACCAACAAAAGGCTAATAGCATAACCATGTCCAGATAATTGCAACTTTGTTATGAATACTGGCTTAGTTTCATCTAAATAAAAAAAAAAATCCCAGAAATTAAAGCTCAATGGCACTGCTATGTTAAAATAACTAATTCATTATCAATTTGCTAGTTACGTTCTGGATTTTAATGTGCATAAGGCCCCTTTCACACGGGACGGACCCGTAAGTGGATCCGCTTTCTCAGCGGGGGATCTCTCCACTGATCCCCGCTGAGCAAGCGTATGAGAGGCCTGTGTCTGCTCTGCTGCTGCAGAGTGGACACAGACACAGCCTGCTATCCTCTATGGGTGGTTGGATGGAAACAGACCACCTGTCTCTTTCCATTCGGCTGCCATCCCATCTGATCTGATGGACGAAAGAGGAATGGATCCCCATCTGTCTCTTTTTGGCAGATCGGATCAGATTGGATGTCGGCGGATGTAAAACGGACACATATCCATTTATACCTGCAGCTCCATAAAGAATAGAGGTTTTGATCGGATCCGCCAGAAAAATGGACCCGATCGCAACCTCCATGTGAAAGGGGCCTAAGAATACAAAAATCTAATTATAGATAAAAATGGGAGAACATAACATTTAAGTAAATCACAGCTTTTTAACATAAGGGCCCATTTTGGCAGATTTAAGGCATAATTCCATATTTTCTTTCACTTTAAATAGATCTTTACTAATTGATGTGGCCGTATAAATTACATACTGTATACAGCACTGTTTTTTGGCAATGGTACAGGGACTTCCCATCTACTACCGAAACAAAATAAAGTTGAGCTGAGAGCTCCTCAACTATTCACAGGAAGCCTTGTATAAATACACAAACCTTCTTGTGAATGGATGACAAGTTCTCATCTCGACTTGATTTTGTCCCAGCAACAGATTAAAAGTTCCCATACTGCTGACAGACAGAGGCATTGCATATTGAAACATTACTTCTTTAAAACATTCAGTTTCATTTCTGTCTGCAATGTTTTTTATGACGATTTGCACTTCTGTCACTTTGTACACCATCACGTTCTCTGTGCTTGCATATTTTGGTTTCATCTGTTCTAGCCACTGCCAGCTTGCTTATATATACATATACTCCATAAAATAAAGAAATATAAACGTTTATCTGAACCCTATATAAAGTAGACAAATTTAAAATGGTATTTAAAATTTCTTAAAGAAATAGATCCTAAAGAAAATGGTTAACTTTGTTACCTAATTATGGTTCGTCTGTCTGCTTCTGATATTTTCAGATAATTTGCAAAGAGGACAGTATAATATGGTATTACAGGGTCACATGTTGGCAGGATCCCATGGGAAATGTGGCTGACCATATTTAAAATTCCATTGTACACAAGCAAATCATCCACAAGGATCTGGGTAGAAAATGCAATAACAACCGTAAAATATAATGTTCATACAAATATTTTTGTAGAGTTTTCAGTATAGTACATTACAGATAAAGAATGAAAATGCAGTAGACATTTCATTATGTAAGAATAACAATAATAAAATGATTAGATTAGATTGTAAACTCCAAGGAGCAGGGCCCTTTTAACCCTCTTGTATTAAATTGTATTGTTGCTGTATTGTCTCCCTTTATATATTGTAGTCCTGAGCAAACTGTTGGTGCTATATAAAGCCTGTATATTATTATTAATAATAATAATTAATAATAATAATATTATTATAAGACTATTAGAATAAAAAAAAACCTTTTTGATTAACTTTGCAGGATTTATCAAGACAACATTATGTTAAGCAGCCAATAGATGAGTAAAAAAAAAATAACTTGATTTGAAAGGGAATCCACCTTGCTGAGCTATTGTATTCTGACAGCGGGGAGAATTCTCCACTGTTAGGCCCCTTACACACGGGCGTTTCGTTTTTTTATCAGTTCAGTCACGTTTTTTCCAAGAAGAAATGGATCGGTTCACATCAGTTTTTCATCAGTTTACATCTGTTTTTCATCCTATTACATCTGGTTTTTTTATCCGTTTACATCCATTTTTGTCCATTTACATCCAGTTTTCATCCGTTCTGTTTTTAGCAGAAGAAAAAATAGGGTTTTCTTCCGTTCAAAAAAAAAGGATGTTAACAGATGCGGACATTAACAAATGTAAACAGATGATCATCTGTTTACATCCGTTAATCCATAGAAATACATGGGTGTCCGTTTTTCATCCATAAACGGACAGATGCAAAACAGACATATGGAACGCCCCTGTGAAAGGGGCCTTAAAAGACACTAGGGTTGGTTTACTTAAACCAGAGAGTGCTAAATCTAGTGCAGCTGTGCATAGTAGCAAATCAGCTTCTAACTTCAGCTTGTTCGACTAAGGGTGAAACACATCTTAATGCCTAAACACAATTTTGCAACTTTGACATGTGTTAGTAAAACCATACAGTTCATCACAACTACTTTGTGTATCCAGGTGGATTGTACCTTGTCTTTTTAGGAAAAATTGGGCTCTCTTTTGGTGGTAAATGGTAAAAGATATCTCTTGATTTTTTTTTTTCTTTTATCGAGGGAAAACTGGACCAATATAGTAAAAAAAAAGTTTGTTATTTGGCTGTATATTTCTTGCTACTACCATAACCTGCCACCAAAGAACAACCCCAAATAAATTCTCCTGCTCCTGATGATCACAGCAATACCACATATGTGTATGTTAGTTGTTGTTTGTAGCTGCAGTATGGTTCAGAAACAAGTGCGCATTTTGCTTTTCTTTTTTTTTTTAATCCTACCTAAAACACCCTGGCACTAACGGGCAGTGATACTTTTAAACATGTTTTTTTCTAAAAAATAAAAATCCTGCCCAAAATGTACTGATCATGACCTTTGACCTTTACACTCACATTGATCTAGGTATTTTTTCTTTATTTTTTTTTTACATTCTCCCTACATGAGAGAGAAAAACAATGTTTTTCTTCCCATTCAGAGAGAAACAAAAAACACAGGGACGGCCTGTACAGTGACTGATCACTGTGATAGCAAATCAGAGGCTATCACAATGATCAGGTGACCCAGAACTGGGAGTAGTACTAACGATCAGGACCCGGGCATCCCAGTGACAGCCCGGTATTTGTGCTGGGAGTGTGCCAGCACAAACACCGATACACATATATGCGGCCCCACAGAAAAAAAAGCCCAGTTCTGTAGGGCCACAGATATGCATACAGACGGTGTGAAGAGGTCAAGCTTTGACAAAAGAAAAACCTGGAAGCTGATTGGTTTCTATGGAGAGCTGCACCAGATTTTGCACTCTCCAGTTTTAGTAAATCAACCCCACTGGCTAGCAGGAAAAATCTGACTTCTGTACAACCAGCCTGCCCATACATTGATTGAAAGTCCTTGCTGAAGCAGCAGAATTTCGATTCATGTATGGCCGGCTTTAGGCTTACCAACTTGCCTTATCTTCAACCAATCTGCTTAGCTAGTTTAGAAGCTTGTGATCAGTGATTATGGTGATGACGGATCCACAGAGATATATTTTTATTTTCTGCAAGATATTCTCTATGGTGGAATAGTTCTCTACTCGAACCAAAGCCAATAATGCTCCTCTCCTGCCTAGTTTACCTGATTAACTGTACTCTAATCAAAAGTATTTGTATGTGTGTTCATAATTCTGTGTGTACAATTTTAGGTCCAGTGATTTTTGTTTAGATACACAAAAAATTTCCTACAAGTTGGTTTCTATAAGTTCAAAACCTTGGACAGTTTTTATCTGACTAGGTCAGTAAGCGGTTTTGCCAGAGCACTATAAATAGGAACTTAGTGAAAAAAAAAAAATAACCAAACAGTTTCTTAAAAAGATCAGAATTGTTTCGGGTCTGTAGATTGGTTCAGACTATAATATTTCCAAAGTTCTGCATTTTGACCTTAAGGCTCATCCATCCCAATTGATAACCCAGGCACTACACCTTTGTTATACCTTACATTTGCCTTTGTAATCCTATCTAGAAAGAACCTTTAGGTGATTTAGATAGGAAAAATGTATATTTTGTTAGCCTCACTTACTTGCTTAGACATATGCTCAGACATTTCCTTCCCAATTGCTTCATGCTGCAGAAGATCTACGTTAAACTATCACCCACTAGGTTTTCTTCTTTGGGGTGGTTACAGTGCCTTGAGGGCTCCCAGGAGCACTGACAGAGCCACTTGTACGTGCACAGTCCCAACCAGGACCACAACCATGCAGAACTTGCACAGCTATAGAGGTGGCAGAAATGCTTACTCTCACAGCTGAATGACGGAGACTATCTACAATACTGTATATAACTGAGGCTACATACAGTTTATACAGGGTGCAACTGTTAGAGAGGAAAATTAAGAGATACCCAGAGACGGTGTTAGTAGAGGCCTCCAAAGTTTTCTCACCCCCAGGCTCTTATACACCTAATACCTCAGCTTCATGCAATGCACCTGCTAATGTAATTATGTGCACATCTGTTGCTGGCAAAAGCCTTAGCATAGTTGCACTTTATTCTCCTCTTTCTCGCCATGTTCTTCTAGGTACTAAGAAACCCGCAAAGTCTAAAAAGACATTCCCCATACATGAACAAATGGAATTGGAAGTTTATGACAGTTGTGGTACTCTTGAAAAGATCTGCACTTCTCCAAAAATCATTGCTAAGTTACTGTATATCTAATGAAAAAAGAATGAAATTCATAAACAAGTGGACTGGTAGTGGGCCCTGCCGTCTCAGTCTTAACCAAACATGTTGCTATCCCTATAGAAGAGGTCCTTTCATTTAAGTATTCTGCAGACAGAAAATGTAAATGCTCTTAAAGGATCATTTTACTTTTGCTGTTGAACCCTGCAACTAGCTATTGTGCAGAGGGAAGATGAACGCTGCTCAGACCTATCCACAGGAGTCCTGTAAGAACACTGTGGTGCCAATGGCCTCAGCCATCAATTTGGCCACGCCCCCTGATGCATTTCACGCCACCCATAGGGGGCTTGGTCAGAGTATGTGACCAAGCCCCCCTATGGGCGGGGCAAACGCATCAGAATGTGTGGCCGGATCGACGGCTGAGGCCATTGGCACCACAGTGTTTTCACAGGACTCCTGGGGATGGGTCTGAGCAGCGACCTTCTTCCCTCTTTGCACACTGTCTGGTTCCTGGAATAACTCGGGACGCCGCTCCCCTCTTCCTTGCCGGCGGGGTGATTGTATTTTGTTCAGCCTCGAGCGGCGCCAAAAGTTTGCTACATGGCTCTGCAACTAGCTATTGCTGAAATATCTGTTTGTCAAACTGCCACTAATTAGACTAGGGCAATGAACAATAAACAGGATACTGTTCCCGGTGGAACACTTACATTGTTTTTCTCCCTTTTAGTCCTGTGTTGATAACCCAGAACAAGCCATGATACAAATTTCCTGAATGGCTCATTTCTTGACATATGCGCAGAATCTTGCTAAAAGCCTGGACAGCTGAAGCTCCTTGAAGGAGGCCATCTTTTTGGTTATGAACCTGACAAGTTGAAAGAGGTCACAAGAGGACCAAAAAGATGGCACCAAAAAAAACCCTCCTTGGGGGGCTTCTACTGTCTCCAAATGAGTCCAATCTCTCTCCCCAGGCTTCATCTTCAAAGCCAAAATTCAGTCCTTCCTTTCTGTTCAAGACTTTGAACACAACATCCACCAAGTCTACTCCAAAATGTCTTTACAGTGAAGGGGCACTCTTATTCCTAAAAGTGTGGAGGGGGGGTGTCTGTTGCAGTTGGCATTTCTCTGGGTCTCAGGAATCCCAGACCCACAATTTAGCCTGCAATTTCCCTGCCTGTTTAAATCTTACCTCCTTGCTGCAGTGCTTCTCCTCGACCTGTTATTCCTTTTGCATGTGTTGTTTGGCTTCTGTGCTCATCTATGGGCGTCACCTGTTATTCTGTGGTTTTAGATTTCCTTTCTCTTCCATCACTTTCTGGCCTGTTTCCCTATACAAGACATGCTCAGTGCAGCCCGTGTTGCCTACTATTACGTGTATTCGGTGTCTGACTTCCTGTGTACAAACCTCAGCTTCACCTACCGTCTGTGCTTGCCTTCTGCCTGCCCTGACCTCGGCTTGTTTCCTGGATTTCTGTCACCTGCCGTTTGTACTCATGCGCAGTGGTTTCCGTATCCTCAGCTGGGCATACCTGGGGGGCCACAACCTGGTTCCAGCTTGCTGCAAGTCCATCCCCACCATCAGGGGCACTGATGAAGAAGTAGTCAGGGGCTTAAATCCCGTGCCCTGAGGAACTCCAAGCTGGCAATCTACAAGGGCTCACTATCACAGACACCTATGGGTTCAATCAGTGGTTTTAAAAGGCTACAGAATAGAATTAAAAGTTCTACCTCCTCACTGATTTCTTATTTCAAACCAGCCAAA